AAAAAGGTAAACATAATATAATTTACATGCATCTCCTCAAAAAGTCAGCATGATTTTGAACTATCACTAGCAATGACGCCCAAAATGATAACAAAATAAAAGACAATGAAGTGAGAATCCCAGAAAGGCCCAGAAAACAGCACACACACAAAAGCTCCAGGTAGCTTCTCCCCTGCTCAACTCTTACAAAAGTATCAGGATCTGGCCACGCAAAGGAGGGGAATCAGATTTACCTTGACAGCACTGGCCTTCACCTGCGGCACCTCGGCCATCCTCTGCAGGTGCGTGAGCAGCGCCTCCTCGGTGAGGTCGTTCTCGGGCAGAAAATACTGGTAGACGTCGTACTGCAGCCTCCACCTGGAGCCCTGGCCCGTCTGGATGTCACACGGCGGAGGGTCCGCGCCTCTAAAGTCAACCAACAAAACTGAGCATCACTCTCGTGCGGGGCAAGTCTCATCTATGGGAAGGAACCAAAAGCTCAAACGTCACACTTCTGCGACAACAATTCCAAGTGTGGCATCGGGAAGAAAAGAGAGGTTGTACAGTTAAATAACCAGACGTGCCTGTCGGGCAGGCCGAGCGGATGGCCAGCTTTGCCATTTGTTAGCTGTGTGCCCACGGGCAAGTTCCTTAACCTCAACAACCCTTGGGGATCCTTTCTGGAAAATAAGAACAACAGCCTCTTCTTCGTAACATCCTTAGGATTAAATGACAAAGAACAGACAGCACCCGGCACTGGAAGATGCCCGGGGGCATTTAAGTGCTGCTCAAATGTCGGCGATCATCACCGTTAAAGTAGAAACTAGGGCAGACTTTTCATTAAAATAATAAAATCCTCACAAACATGTAAGAGTGTTTCATGCCTCCAGAATGCTTTCCATATGTAAAACTCTTTGCGAAAAAAACTGAGATGTACTTCTAAGCTCCTAATAAAGACTCAACATCTGGCTCTTTGTAAGAATGGGAGGAAACAACATTCATTGTAAAGGACAGCTCCAGTGCTAGCAAGAAAGCTTAAATTACTTCCATTCCAAACAAAAACATGAGACAATTCAATTTTACTAAAGAGAGCTACTGATTTTGAAACCTACACAACAGCTAAAAGCAGTTTCAGGAGATGGGAGACAGACGTACCTCGCATAGCCTAGGTTTGCTGGGGCGAATTTGATAGTTGTTTCAAAGAAATTATACTCCAAATAAATGTTGGGATCGATATCTAAATCAAACTCCAAATTACAGCCTCCGGGGATAGGATCTGGATGGAAAATAAGAAAGTCACTTAACACAGAATTATTATTTGGTGGGGGGGTGTAGGGGGGAGTGGTAGTTAGGTTTATTTATTTATTTAGAGGAGGTACTGGGGATTGAACCCAGGACCTTATGCATGCTAAGCATGCGCTCTACCACATGAGCTACACCCTCCTCTTAACACAGAATTCTTATATATGCAAATCATATGCACATAAACAGAACCCACTCTCACAAGAACTCACAATACAGAAGTTAAGTAGAGAGCTTCTAGTTTTGCGCTACCTCATGGACCAAGGGGAACATTAACTGAGATTACAGGCCATAGAGCAGGGGTTAGCAGATCTTTTCTGTCAAGGGCCAGATGGTAAATATTTTAGGCTTTTTGGACTTGATGGTGTCTGTGGCAGCTACTCAACCCTGCCCCTGTGGCAGGAAAGTATCCACAGATGATAGTAAACGAATGGACGGTGTTCTAGTAAGACTTGACGTGCAGAACAGGCAGCGAGCTGGATTTGGCTTGTGGTCTGCAGTTTGCCAACCTCTGCTCTAGAGTCAAGAAAGTCAGCATAGACAGAGATTCTTAAGCTGGGGGGTCCAAGAATGGGCTTCAGGGGCTCCGTGCACACTCTGAAATTGCATGCCAAATGCTGAATGTGTGCATTTCCTAGAGGGCGAAATTTTTAATATATAAAAGAAAAGTGTCCACTCTCCATCTGACCCTTTCAACAGGGAGAAAGATGGTGTTATCCTCACCACTGGAAGAGTCTCTGTGTATATATAAAAGAGTAAAAATAAAAGACCTCAAGAACCCCAAGACCATGTATTGGAATAGCATGTGTATGTTTAACCAAACACAAAATACATTTGGGATATTTAATTTACACTAACAGTGTGCTCAAAACAGCTCTTCTTTTCTTATTAGAAATCCCATTTATGACTTTCAAGCATGACAAAACTTAAATCATTTGACATTCGTTCAACTCCAAGCCTGGTGGACTCAAGTGGAGAGGCTGACAGAAGACAGAACAAGGTAAACCAATTTAAAGACTTTTTAAGAGCTCAACTTCATACACTCATCTAATCACTCCCACGGTGGGGTCTCAGATTCCATAAACTGTTGGAATTCTGCAGATCGGGAATAGAGACACCCAGAGTGCACAGGTTTCAGTATCACGGGGAATCTTTCTCAGGATTCTGTGCTCCTCTCTCACAGTCTCCTTTGCCCGCATTTACCAATATTTACCACACCTGGGAGAAGGATATGTGTTGTAACTGACGTGCCACTGTTCATAGATTTCCTTTGTACATGGACCTCAGTGGAAGTTTGAAGTATAGTGGCTTTTTGTAACTCAGGTAATTACCCTTCTGCTACAGATGACATTATCTTTCTTCAACTCCAACCACTTTTTGGATTCTACCTCCTTTACCAGCGATTGCTCCCTCCCCTTTCCTTTACCACCAAACTTTAAGAGTATGCAAATTTCCTCATCTCACCTTCACCCCTCAATTGTGATTATGTAGTTTGCATCCTCGCTGTGCCACAAAAATGATGCTCACTCAAGGCCACCGCTGACTCTGGATCGTGCTAGCACACGGACACTTTCAGTCACCTCTCCTGACCTCTCTGCAATGTACTATTTACCACTCCTACTTCATGCAGGACAGCCAGGCTCTTCTCTTATCTCCCTGTCTACTTCTCAGTCTTACGATTATTCTTCAGCAGTTAGCATCCCCCAGAAGCAGTGCCTGGCACGTGGTAGGCACGATTCAGTTATCTGCTATTATTTCCCCCCTAAATCTCTATGTTTATGCCTGGACAATCTCACTCACTTTCGTGGCTTTTACTAATAGCTATTCAGTTGGCTATCGAACCCCATTCCTCCACTCCAGGCCCTTAAACTGGCTACCACCCATGCCCATTCAGATATCCTACAAGCAGCTCAGGTGCATTGTGTCCCAAACTTATGTCACTATCTACCCCACTCCAACCGCTTAAAACATCCAGCACCACCACAACCCTATCTCCACAGCTATTCTGCATCACTATTTCCCAGCTGCACAAATGGGACGTCCACACTCCCCACTTTCACAATCCATAACCACTGGTCATTATGTCCTTTCAAGTCTACCTTCCAAACACCTCAAATCCATCCACTTCCCTATCCCCAACTCTTGGCCTCTATTCAGATTCTCATTTCTCACTTTGAGTCCTGAACACTGTGCTGTCTTGACTCTGCTATGCCCTCTCTGATCCACTCCCTCCACTGCTTCTAGAGTTCACCTTCCAAGAGGTGAAATGCATCGATCACATCACTCCTTCACTTAGAAACACTCTACGCTTCCTCAGAAGCGACCTCAGAATAGAGAGCAAACCTCACATTGAATACAAGGCCCCTCACACTCTGGCTCCAGCCATATCCACTATTCACCATTCTCCAAATATCCCAATCTTCTTCTATGCCCCCCTCTGCCTAGAATAACCACCTAATGTGTTAAGGATCATGTCCTGTCTTTCTGTGTCTTCTCTTTCTATTACAGGTTCCCCAAGGGCCACCTAAATGTTTTCCAAATGAATAAATGTGTCCCTACCAGGGCTTTCAAGCATCACACTAACTGTCTGTCTCCCCTGCTCTTAAAATGTTTCTGATTCAACATATTATACTCATAATAATTATGTTTAATAGGATTATAGCTTCCCCTAAATTTTCATGAACAAGTCCTGCCTTCTGGAGAGTAACAGGGAGTCAAAGATAGACAAGTTAATGTTAACCACTATATATAAAAGTAGATAAAAAAACAAATTTCTTCTGTATAGCACAGGGAACTGTATATTCAGTATCTTGTAATAACGTTTAATGAAAAAGAATATCAAAATGAATATATGTATGTATATTCATGATTGGGACATTATGCTGTACACCAGAAATTGACACATTGTAATTGACTATACTTCAATCAAGAAATAAAAAAAAGAAGAAGAAAGACTAGTTACCTCTTTCTGAGTAGGAGAGTGGGATGGCCACATTCTGGACAGGCTTAGCATCTAAAGTCGCCAAGTGCCAAGTGCACATACTCTGCTCTGGTCTAAGAATGAAAACCAGTCCTTTGTCAGTGCCTGTTCCCGAGGCATTGGGAAGGAGAGTCTGCCAGGAGAACAGAACAGTCATCATGAATTGGGAGCTTTTACAGTCCAGAGCTGACCTAGTGTGCATGCCCTGTTCCAAATCTTCTCAAAACAAAAAGGAATAAAAACAGACCTTCCTTAAACAATGAAAGAATTCTCTACACCTCTATGCACTCATACGTACACATGGAGAGCACTAGTTAACATATATGCTCTTTGATCAGGAATGGCAGATACACAGCAAAATCCCCAAGTTTTTTAAACTCTTGCATTAGGATTTACTACGTCAAGTACTAAGACTACTGTGGGAAGGGCTATCGTGTGAATGACAAACCTGAAACAATTTAGTAACGAGTCTAATGGCCTTTGCTCAAGAGGAAACTCCCCACGGGATGGGGGAGGATGATGCCTCGTGAGCCGTGGAGCACTGTTCCCAAGGAATCTGGGGCATGAACTAGTTTTATAGACATCAGAAGGGCATGATTGGCTAGGAGGCTGGAAATTTCCTCAGAAGGGGAGCAGGTCCTGATTTCTAGGGTGAGGTGACCTTGCTGAACTGAGTTGGAGGATGGTGATTGGTTAGGTTTTCTTGACAGAGGTTCCCTGTAAATGCAGGCTGACTTAGATTTGGATTTGGGATGTGGGCCAGGCCACCAGGCCAGCCTCCGTCTGTGGTCCTGATATACAAACTAACTTGACCAATACCAAGACGAAAGTCTGAGCTCTGCCCCCAAGGAGTTCAGTTTTTGGAAAGCTTTTTTAAAAAATTTGAGTTGTGATTGACATAAACCTCATATAAAGTATACAAGTAAGTTTTGATCAACGTAGACTCCTGTAACACCATCACCTCAACCAGGACAGTCAACATGCACATCTCCTTCTTTGTGCCCTGCTCTTACCCTTCCTCACGCCCCCTCCACTCTCCCATCCCCTGCCTCCACCTGCTTGGAAAGCTGAGTGGATAACAACACACTAAATTAAGAGGCAGTAGATTCAGAGTGCTTTCTTAGAGTGAAGGAAATGGGAAGAAACAATTGCCAGATGGGTTTCGGTTTGACAAGCATAAGAGAGAATGACCCAAATACTAACTGAGGAACTACAGGGTCAGCGGTTTCAGTGAACCCACTGCTAAGATGACCCAGAAACCCCAAAGTGCCACACTTCACCAAGATGTCTCCACAGAAACAGCTCTCTTCACACAGACCGCTCACTTCCAGGGCCACGTGCGCCTCTCGTTACCATCGTCTCAGTGGTATAAATACGGCGGGAACTAAAGGCAGCCCAGGAAGGAACGTGACTAGGGTTGAGGATAACTAAGACCCTATCTGCATGAAAACTGAAGCCCAAGAGGCTGTTCATCCAGGCCACTTTTGTCACATTAGTTATACTGACATCCCTTTATCCAAGCTCCGTGTCCTCAAATGCAAAAACAGGCATTAGAACTACTTTGTTGAGCTGTTGTGAGAATTACATTAACTATATTGAAAATTAAATGCAAGGGTTCCTCATAGGAGCTCCAGTGAGTTTCCAGAGGTGCCCATGAAATAACACAGGTGTAGCCATGCATTTTGCCAGGTGGAGAGTCCAGAGATTTCAACAGATTCCAAGTCTATGGCCCCAGGAGCATAAGGCATTTATATTTATTGCATGCCTACTGTGTGCCACCACTGGCCTAGCACACAGTAGGCATGCCATAAATACAAATGCCTTTTTTCTCCATTCTTTCTCTTCCTTCAAATGTTGTCTTTGTTGTGATGTTGTTAAGAAAGAAATCATCTATGTGCCATCTATGTTTCCTATGTAACAGCCTGAATAGAAAATTTCCCTTTGAATTTAGAGCCAGAAAAAACTTGGCTTCTCCTGAAGAACTGGTATGTTTCTTCCTTGTAAGAAAGTTATGGGATTCAACATGCTTTGATTTCTGTTCTGGCTGCAAAGAACTCTGGCAAAATCAACTATGGGTCATAGACACTGTTATCTCTTCAATTAACGTAATTTATTCCTTCCTCTCTTTCTCGATCAAATTCTGCCATTTCTGGTCTATGAAGACACTACACACACACTCGCACAGTTTCAAAATCTCTGTGGTAGAGGCAGAAAGGCAGGAGTGAAAAAATACAAAATATTTAGTTTGAAAGATACTATAACCAATGCCCATAAAATATATACCCATTGGACTAAGGCAGCTTTGTTTAGCAAATTCCAGAGTATCAGAAGGTAGGCTTTGGACAAATAAAAAGCACAACTTCATGCAGAATGAAATTCATTTATTAGTCTAAGGGGTCATGTAGACTAAACAGAAACAGATTTGTTAAAAAAAAAAATTCACACTGAAGACAAGCTCCCAAAATGTGGAAATGGCTTTTACAGAAATAATTCTCTGCACTTACCTCAGAAAAAGAAATTGTTGTATTCTGATACTGTGAGTGTATCTGGAAAATGAGAAAAGTCACATTGCTGGAAATATGACGCAAGATAGCTTCCTCTGGAGAGGGCCTTTTGAGTGTGAAATATCTAAATTTTCCCACAGAAAATTCAAGAAGACCTACAATGGGAGAAATGTTTCATTGTAACATTTGTACCTCTAAGAGCGATTTGTAGAAATTACATACTTAAATATACACGCAGGGCTAATTTAATCCTCAGAAAAACCCGTTGAGATTAATATTATTATTACTGACCCCACTTCACTGAGGGGGACAATGGAGCTTAAAAGGGGTGACACAGCCCACCCAGGGTGACTGGGTGGAGCTAAGAACTGAAATGGAAAAAAGGTTATTTCCAAAGATGCGAACAATACTTAACATCCTGAGGATGCTCAAGGACCCGGGCTCCCAGAGCCCAGCCCATCTGGTAGCAGCAATAACGTCTCCATTCGGAACAGGGTCTCTGAATTTAAGGATTAGTAACCCTGATACGCTACTAACAATCATGAGTGAGCAACAATTTCATACTGCACAGCACAAGGAACTAGATTCAATATCTTGTAGTAACATGGTTAAAAATGACATGAGAACGAACATATATATATGTTTTCATATGACGGAAGCATTGTGCTGTACACCAGAAATTGACACAACACTGTAAACTGACTATACTTCAACAAAAATATATTAAAAAAAACCAATAAAAAAAAAACAATCGTGAATCCATTGGTATGAGAGAACATGACGATCTAGTGATTTGTGAAGTCAGCCCAGCTGGAGAAACCCAGCTAGCTTCAGTTTGATCCCACCACTTACTAGCTGTGTGATCTTAGGCGAGTTACTTAATTCCCTTAAACCTGCACTTCTCCATCTGTCAAATGGGACTATGTTACCAGGCTTGCAGGGAAGGTGCCTCAACATGGTCAAAAAATGTCTGCTGAGTGCCCACACCGGGTATTTCATATACAGTCTTGAACCACAGGGCCTTCTGCAAGAAGGAGTTGTTTGTTCGTTTGTTTAAGGATTGAGTTCAGAGTCCACACAACAGACAGGCTGTAACAACAGCTTTCTGACACCTCGCTAGGTCTTTCCTGTCTGTCTACTCACCTCCACTGCCTGCTTGTGTTTCACTCCCTCCCTCTGTGCCTGTCTCCCAGCTGCACACCCCTTCTTTCTTTTTCTGCCCTAATTCTCAAAGAATCCACTACAGAGGTTTGCTCTGACTTCTGTGTGGTTCTGGGTTCCCATCTCAGCCCCGCCCTATGGTCAGTGTATCTCTGCACATGGAGCAGCATAAGCAGTCTTGGGGGTTCAAGAAAAGAAAGATTTCAATCTAAAATAGATGCAAAGGAGTTGATAAGGTAAAGGTTACTGTCACCAGAGTCCCACAGTGGAAAGATCATGTTCTATCTTAGAAGAAAATTAAAGTCAGTGGGAACTAAAAAAACATTCCAGACTAAATAACTTCCCAAATCATTCTTATGCACAGTTTCCCAAGAAGGCTAAATTTTTTCAACACTGTTTTCATTGTTAACACATGCACTCCACCTGGACGACTGGGAAAAAAAAAAAGACCATCAAGAAAGGCTAACCAAGAAAACTAACCTGAACATATAAATAATGTTAGGGCTAGAACAAAGGTTCACAAATGTTCCCCAAACTCCATGATGTTATTATAGTACCTTCATGATTAATTTAATTTTTAAGTGATGATAGAAAAAAAGGTTATCTGTGGTTATAATTTAACTTCTAAAAATCCAGAGACAATTTTAATAGATGGCAGTGATGAATGAAGTATTTCTTATTTATATAAATAGAGAGACATTTTTAAACTTTTATGTGGGACCGAACTCCAGCCCAAAAAGAGGTAAAAATATTAAAGAGTGGCTAATAGAATCTATGGAAGTCTGGAAAATGTAGAGAGTTTTCTGGGTTTTTTCAAAGGGAAATAAGGAAAACATTTTAACATTCCCAAGTCTTCCCATCATCACGATGACTTTATTAGGAAACCAAATTATACATAAAACTAAGTGGGTCTCAGTAGATGGCACTAAAAACCATTCATGTTTTGCACTTTAATTTTGGTCCCATCTTTTCTCAGTCTTCCAAGTCTCAAAACCATCCACAAATTCTAGTCTGTCAAACTAAGAGCAGTATCAGTTTATTTTCCTAGGAATTAATTGGATTTCCATCCTTTAACTGTCCAAAGCACTCAGCTCACTTACCAGCCTGCCTTTTCTAGTTATATTCTCAGTTTTTCTGTTTTTTTTTTTCAGTCCCTCCCCCATTTCCTTTGACATTTGACATTTCATTTGACAAACATTTATTTTAATACTTACGGACTAGTTGCTCTGCCTGGGTATTGTGACCAAACCTGATGTAAGTAAAATTCATAAAGGTTATGATTACTTATCACTTAAATTTGCCCTTAAGCCTATCTTGGAAAAAAAAATGTTTTGATAATCCTTATCAATACATGGGCTCTGAATTAAACTACTACCTGGAATCTTTACAAGCCCTGGAAGAGACTAAAGCTATCAACTAGTGAAGCCTTGGTTTTACCAAGTGTGACAGATTAACCTTACCTTATTCCGTCACACAAGGGTGAAGATAAATCACAACTCAGAAACGCCTGGAGAACCAAAACTTTCAGTGATTTAAGACAGGGCCATAGAAATGAAAACATATTACTAAACAACTGGTAACTTAAAATAAGCAGGGGTATCAAAAGTAGGCATTCCTGGGAATGTATGTTAAATGATTTTTCTCTTCTTTGCACATTTCATTGTTTATCAAATTTCCATAGCGATCACAAGGTGTTCTCATCAGAAAGAAAATGCACAATTTGAAAAAAATCCTCCATCCTTGATGGTACTCAAAACCTGGGTTCCACCTCAACTCTTCATCGGAAGTTTATCAAACAGGGACACACCCACCCTAGACAAAATGGTGACACTCTCAACATTTCTGTCACCTGTTTTGTTTTTCCCTTAAAATGGTAATATTTTTCCAGATCATATATAAGCCATATTAAAAAAAAAAAAAGGCAAGAAATGTATAGAAAGTAAATTCCTGCAGCAAGTACACTATACAGAAATAATCACTATTCACAGTCTGGTATAGCAGGATTTAGGCAGATATCAGCATGAGTATTTCTACACAGATGCATAAAGAAAGACACAAACATGTTTGGGCTAGCCCATTTACTAGACCTTCGGTATCCTTCCACATCAACACAGATAATCCTAGTTTTACCATTTGAAAAGCTATATAATATTCCATTCTGTGTAATCATGATTATTCAACCAGTCCCCTACTGATGAACATATAGGCTGTTACCATTTCAGCATGAATAAAAAATAAGAAATAAAATAGTTCTATTTTGTGAAAGAGTATTCTAGAAAGCATATATATATATATATACATATATATATATATATATATATATAAAAATATATCTGGCAATAAACCTGTCTGAGATGGTTTTTGCTGTGACAGTGTAACAGACCAGCTTTGATCTTAAATGGTTAAAATACTTAACAAGTCCTGTTGTAAGAAAATCAGAAATGAAAACAAATAGCTTCTGGGAGAATACATAATGATCAGGACCAAAAAATTAGTCCCTGCTTCTGACTCCAAGAAGAACACCTGGCATTTCAGAAGGTTACAACTTTCATCTATTACTTCCCAGATTTCCAAAAGCTTCCAAAAAGAGGATGAAGCCTCACCAACCCTCCTTCTCCAGTCAAAAGTCTGTAGCAAGAATTAGGCAGAAGCCAGGTAATAAACAAGAGACACACTGTGCACATTACTCTAAAAACTGATTGCTTGACCAAATTAGTAGGAGCATTAAAAGCAAATACCTCTAGGGGTATATTTTAAATGATTTTTTCTTTTCTTTACACATTTCTTTAATTTTCATCTTTTCTGTCTGTGCTCACAAGGTGTTCTTATTAGAAAGAAATTCTGATACAGTGGTCATCCGCCTTGGTTGTGCATTACAATTATCTGAAGATGCTTTGTAAAAAATACTATTGCTTGGGCCCCTCTCCTGACCAGTTAAATAAAAGTCCCTGGGGTTAGGGTCCAAGTATCAATTAAAAAACAAATACTTATTAAAATAACACGCACACAATGAGGTGCAGAAGTTCACGCTGCCAGGTTAAGAAACAGCAAGCATTTCCGAGGTCTCCTAGGGACCCCTTCCAATCACCAACTCTTCCCTCCTTCCTCCTCCCCAGAGGTAACCCCTTTCCTAACTTCTAACACCACAGATGCACGCAGTATGTTTTTTTATTTTTTTGGACATCTAATTAAATGAAATCATATAGCATGAATTCTTTTGTGTCTAGCCTTTTAAAAATCAACATGTTTGCAAGATTCATCCCCGCTGCTATAGTAATTATTATTCAATTTCATTACTATATACGTCATGAAATAAGTATACCATAATTTATCTATCTATTCTACTGTTAATGCACATTTGGATTATTTCTAGTTTGGAGTTATCATGAATAACTCCATTCCGGTATTTTTTTGTACGTCTTTTGGTGCATATATACACATTTCTATTGGGTAAACTTATCAGTAGAAATTATCAAGTAACAGGGTAAACCTGTGTTCAGTTTTAGCAGCTACTCCCAAATAGTTACCTACAGGGTTTTGCCAATTTATACCCCTATCAACTCATGAGAAAGTAGTCCAGTTACCCAACTGTCTCACCAACACTGGGTATGAACATTCTGTTTTATTTAATGGCAATTTAAATATCCTCTTTGTGAAAGGATCTGTTTCAGTCTTTTGCCCACTTTAAAAATTGGATTATCTGTCCTTATTGAATTTTAGGAATTCTTCAGATATCACTGATACCAGTATTCTGCCAGATATACATTACAAATATCTTCTCCCACTCTTCACAGCTTGTTTTTCACTCTCTTCTTACCTTGAGTTTAACAGAAGCTTAAGGGTGTTTTTAATTATTAAAGTATAGGTGATTTACAATGTGGTGTTAGTTTCAGATGGACAGCATGGTGATTCAGTTATACACACATACATATGTATTTTTTTCCCTTTGTCAGATTCTTTTCTATTACAGATTATTACAAGATATTTAGAATAT